AAATGTATAAAATAAAATATATATGTAAAAATCTTTCTAAAATCTAGTCAAAGAAACTCGTTTTTTTCATATTTGTGTAACAGAAAGAAAAATATATTTTTCTGGAAAGCAGTGTTTTTCAGTTTTTATCTTGCAATAGTGCAATCGTTTAATTCGATACTTTACTATTTATGTATCGAAAATAAATTTACACTGCTTAATGCTTCTCTATACATGTAGCTTTACAGATTATATAAGAACGTCAAAAAATTTTGTTATACGTTATCTGTAATAAAAGACAGCAATTAAATCTTGCAGACAGTCATATAATGTTATTGCAAAATAAAGCAATGTTACCCCAGCGATAAACACAATTAACTAGAACTAAACTGTCAAAATAAAACTGAAATCTTTAAACTGAAAGCTATTTCTGTTGATTAAATATTTAAAAAATAAAATGATTTTTTAAATATCCTTCAAATTGATGGATGTGAAGTAAAATTAGATACTATTCTAATGTTAATTAAAAAATAATTTTTTGTTCAAGGACCATATGCAAATCAATTATGTAACAAAATAGATTGCATTAATACTATTTGCAAAATTAATCATGCTAATCTGAATCACTCAGATAAACAAACATTTCAAGTAGATTAACACAAATTTGTACATATTCAGTTTTACACTTATTGAGAGATACATTACAATTATGTGTCTAATCTTTGACAGTACCTGCATATTTAACCTCATCGAAAGCCTTTCTTGCTTTCTTAAGTTCTTCATTCATTGTTAAAAGATCTTTCACTCTGGCATACTTTCTGGGATCTTTCCTCACTGCAAATATAAATTAACAAAATACAAAATAATAAGGAGTGACAGTATCGACAGTAACTTTTTATATAAAAAATAGAAAGCTTCAAATAATCATCTTAAAAATTTATATATATATAAATGTTTACCTAAAAATACAATATCTTCTACTTGAACTCGTCCTGTACGTCCAATTTCCATAGCTCGATGTGTCATCTCTGTTATAAATTCGATAACCAAATCCTCCAAGAAATCAACGCTCTCTGTATAAGGATTCTGATCATCGCCGAAGCCATACATCATGCAGCGTAGTTCTTTGGAGAAGAGACGTTTTCTACCACCAGGCAGAGTCCCACCAATAGGAATTTCTGCTTCTTCATCTTCAAACTAACAAAATAATTAAGCATAATTAGTAAAAAATGGTTACAATAAATAATTATTTATAAATCTTATTGTTTATATATTGTATACATACTATAAATAATCTATTATATAAAATTAAAGTTATTTGAACATTTCTTTTGAGAGAGAAATATATTTTTTAACTTTTTTAATATTTTCGTTCATATACAAATTATAGACGGCAGAAATATGCATATCAAAATAGACAGTTTTAAAGACAATTTCGTGTGTTCAGGTTTATGTTTACTTATGAATAAAGCGAATCCAACCTGTTCGAAATTTTCTTCAGCAGACATCGTTTTGTAGACTAGATTAAATCTTGATAATTCTTTAGCTGTTCTTCGTGATTTTTCTTAAAACAATTGATTGCTTAATCATGCAAATGTTTTAATAATTTTTATAATATAATTTTCTAAGCAAATACACATACAACGTTGGATGCGACAGGAGATTGAGGAAGGTTAACTTGCTAACTCTGAATTGATCTCGGAGACCTCATGTGAAGGAAATTCAAAACTCTAGATCGTGTGAATATATATTGCCAATGTCAAACGGGATTGAAAGGAAGTTTCTATTCCTTCAATCCAAAATGTATTAAAATGAATTAAAATTGATTAGAAAATTTTGGGTTTATATTAATCTATTTCCAGATGCTGGGATACTAATTAATCATCACAGACAACATAGATCTAATCGTCTTTCAGATCTGTCATTTCTTTCTGGAAATGATTTGTTTTAAAATTTTAGCACTTTTTATTTTTACGAATGTTATCTTTTTAAATTATTTTAGAATAAATTATGGTATTACATTTTGTAATATTCAACTTTTCAATAGTGCATCTCTACTATTCAGTATAATTCATTCTATTAAACATATTTGTAATAAATATATTTGCCTGCCGACTAAATAAGATTGAATCTCAATAAAAAAATTAAACGATTATAATAAAAACGAATTTATTTCATCAAAAATTGTGTCAACATTAATTCAATCATTAATAGAATTTATTTAAAGAGAATCTGTTGAAAGAAACTTGTCACAGTTTTATATATATATATATATATATATATATATATATATATAATAATAGTAA